TCCGCGCCGCTTCCAGTGCGGTAAACACCGTCAGAGGTGGGCTTCCCTCCTCACTTACCGGAGTCCGGAGCCTGACGGAGGGCGCCGGGGGCCTAGGCTTAAATCTGCTGGTTTTCAATGAATACTAATGACCCTGTTGTTTTAAAATCATCTGGTGTATTTGAGAACAAACAGAAATGCTAGGAAGAGTTGGTCTTGGTCTCAGGATAGAAGACCTTTGAAAGGAAGACAGTAAGAAAAAATGTTTGCGTTTTCGAAGCAGTTGTCATCACAGTAAACTTTATGCATCGTGCTGTTCTTAACCGGCAGGGGACGTAGGCCTTTTAATTGAAAATAACTCGCCTTTACTTTTTTCGTGCTGAAATTTCTCCGTTGCAGCACTCTGTAGTCTTTGTTGCATTCTTTGATAATCACATTCTGAAATAGAATGGAAAGGCGAAATACATTTTTCGCTGTCCCAAGAAATAGGCAGGAATAGTTCCTTTTATTCCATATTTGTATATATTTTGTTGGAGCCCTCAACAGCTAGCCCAGTGCTACATGTGTAATTAGGCCACCAGTGAGGATTTGCTAAATTCACTTGAAATCAGTGACAACTTTATTTTGACATTTCAGAATATGGCCCAGTCAGTGTGTTAAAACATAGAAGGCTTGAGACCTACGGACCAGTTTCAGAATATATTTTTAGTTAACTGTCGAATCGATAGATGTCAGCGCTTTGTCATTTGGTGAAAAAAGAAACTTTGCAATTCAAGTCCTCAGATCTTTTTGTTGTATTTAATTAATTAAAACGGCGCTTTGATTTAATCAGCTATGGATCGTCATGGTTCCTTGGATCAAGTTGTTTAGAACTGCTATGTGAGGAGAGAAACAGCTTGAAGGAATACCTATGCCCTTTGTCAATCATGGGGACTCAGTATTTTTTTTTACAAAAGACTAAGAATGAAACTGTGATCAAGAAACGCTTTCCTTTTCCTTGCAGAGTTCAGTTTTGTTACCTCTGTGGAGTATGATTCTCTTGAGAGCAGTTAAATCCTGTGAGATTTGGAAGAGTCTTTTTTATCTTGTTGTTTATTAAAGTTGTAGTGAATTCATAGCTTGTTTTTGGACACAAAATACAATTTTTACCCCAGCAGTATGCTTTTAAGAGGGCACATGGAGCAAGTGCAGGCTGCTTTTGGGGGCTGTGGGCATGGGGGTGTTACCATTTACCATCTTTTTACGCGTGTGCTGCACTTTCTAAAACCTCTGGACACCTCTTTAGAATAGGGGCTTTGTTCATGCATCTTTGAATCCTACAGGGCCTACTATGTGAATTTAAAGTGATAACACATTTCAAGTGATTTTGAAAAATGTGTCTACTTGTACATTCTTAAATGATTTTTAATGTAATTTTATGTATTCCCATGTATAAATAGGGGAGATTTGTATTTCTAGAAGTACTTTTTTGTAGTATTTGCCTTTTAATCTACTGTAGCTGTAAATGAAAAAATATATAACTATTATAGTTATAGAAATGATTTTAAAATGGCATTTGCTTTTCTGACTACTGTTGTGAACATCCAGGTATCTGAGGCTAAATGGTCATACATGACAGGCTCTGAACAGTATTTCACATCCCTGACCATGGGTGCTGACCTGACTCCCTTCTTTTTCCTTCTAGTGTTCAGCTTTGTTAAGATTATTTTGCTTTGTCCTTCTGCTAATGACATCTTTGTAAGTTTGATCAGCCAATTGTAATATTCAAAAACAAAATTAGTAATGAGTTAATGATTTGTCAAAAACTTAGCACGTATTTTCTGTAGTTTTTAACACACATTTATTGTAGTTTGAACACTTGTAAGCAAACCAAGTTAATCATAAATTGCTAAATGTTTTTCTTTTCTTGAAATTGTATTTCATTTGGCTCTGAAGCCAGAGATGTTGTCCATTTGAGTAGCACACAGTTAAGGTAAATTACATGAAGGTGTGTGATTCTGTATCAGGACTTCTTAACTTGGGTCTGTTCACCCTGAAGTTGTTAGTAAAATTTTCTTTGACTACATTTTTCTAGGGAGATGCCAGAAAGGATCCATACTTCCCCAGAGAGTTTAAGAACATGTGTTCTATTTGAAAACAACATCAGTAACTAAAGAATAGTTCAACAGGTTAAATTCAATAAATATTTCCTTAATCATCTACTGTGACATTATTGGGGAATTTACTTTTTGAAGCATCCATACATAGGATTATAGTTTTTAGTTATGTTTAGGGTATTTTTTTGTGTGTGTGAGGATAGGTAATTAGGTTTATTTATTTTTGTGAAGGTCCTGGGGATTGAACCTAGGACCTCACGTATGCACGCACCCTACCACTGAGTTATATGCTCCATTTTGCTACGTCTCTTATTCATTGTAGACCGTTTAGGACAGCTGAATTAAAAGTGCATTCTGACATTTTAGAATACTTCTGGTTTTGTTGTTAAATCATTACCATGTATTACCATTTTGTTTATAAATATTCTTGGTAGAGGCTAAGAGCTGAAGAGTTATATACATGAGTTCTGTGTATTATCAAAAATAGAATGTTCCTTATATTTTTCTTTTTTTTAAAATATGACCTTGATTATTGTATGAATACAACAGCTGTGTGCCTACATCTCTGACGAAATGGAAAATGTTCAGTTTTTCCACAAGTGAGTTGGTAACAACTCAAGTTGTGGAAAACAACTTTAAAGATTAGATAAAAAGCTAAGCATATGTGAATTGCTTTGTTGAAAGTACTGAGAAAAGAAAAACTGGTATTTGAAATATGCCAAGGGATGCAGAGAACCAGATTTTTGTTCCTTGTATCTCTGACTTTATTCACAATAAATAGGAATCAGCAACCATTTCAAAAGTAGTACCCAAGCTCTGATCCTTTGCGCTCTTCACCTACTAGGATGCTTGAAGAAGTTGCAGAATAGCCCTCTGTAGCTCCCAGAGAGCTGCTAAATAGTCACCCTCCAACTGCTAGCGTGCAGGCCATGAAGAGGGCCATGGTGCTTTAGGTTAGTGTGTTTGGGGTTATATTCGTTAGTAGTTTTCTCAGATTGTATTTCTAGTTCATCTTAATATAGTTTGAAGACCTGCTTCCCAGTGTCATCTGTGGAAATCCACTTAGAGTTGAAGTGTAACTCCTTTGTAGCTACCAAATTTTGCAGTTTAAGTAAAAAAATCATTTTTCTCAAGTATCATTCTGACAAATATATGTGATTTAAATTTTGCAATTATTTAAAAGCTTGAGTTCTTTTAGCATTATTTTTTAGATGTGTCAGTCAAATGAGCAGTTGACCATTTCAGCCAGGGTACATCAAGATCCCTGAGATGGGTTTTGTCTCTTTCAGGGATGGATGTAGTAGCTTGTTCTTAATGGATCTACTTTCTCAATAATGTATAAATACAGTTATGAATTCTACCTCACGAAATACTTACTAGGGATCTTTTAAAAACAAGAGGTAGCAGATATGCCATCGCTTAGCTATGTAAATTGAGTAATTAGAGATCGCACCAAGACTGATCTCGCTTAGGCTCCATCCTAGATATTGATAACACTGATTTTTGTGTTGATGGGTTTTCTTTTTTAATTTTATTTTACCTTTTTAGTGAGTTCAGTTTGTAGTCATTTGAACCATGTAACCCAGTGTTCACGGGAATAAACACTTAATGTAATAATGGCTGAACAGCCACGTATTTTCATCTTAAGAATGGAGAGAGATGCAATAGATCGTCATGTTACTTATCTTTTCAAAATTTACCACAAAGCAGTATAATCTTAAGCTATAGACATTTTTTAGTTTTTTTAAGAGTAAAACTTGATCTCACTATACTCTTGTTGAATATTTTTAAGAAGTAGATTTCAT